GTGAGCTCCAGTCGCCTGTCCCAGCTCCTGCCAACCTAGCGGTTCGAAAGCATGCAAATGCGAGTAGATAAATAGGTACCACCTCGGTGGGAAGGTCACGGCATTCCGTGTCTAGTCGCGCTGGCCACATGACCACGGAAACTGGTTAAGTACACATTGTTTTTAGCTTTGGTTAAGTCATGTAAGGCGCCTCTGTAAAGGCAGAGTAAAAATGTTTTAAATAAAATAGCAGGAAAAAGAAATACAGTAAATGCACCTGTTCCATTATCAGAATGTTCCCTTTGTGTCACATAATCCCCCCACCCCATCATCATCTCCGCTCTTCCTATCCTCCCTTGGTAGCTTGATGCATAGTGATGTTATTTTCCCCTTTTGGTCACCTCAGTGGTTCCTCTAGTTCACAGGAGCAAAATATTTAGGATATGCAAAGAATGTACATTTGGGAGCCGAGTTCTCATAAAACAGCCAGTGTTCTGTTGATCGGTTGACGTGGAGGGCTCCTGTGCCCCCTCCAACTTAGTGGAAAATTACAGCTTAGGCCTTCAGTTGTAAGTAGGTTTTGGAATTAAGACCAGCCATCTCCAGCTTCCACTGGGAGAGGTATTTATGGGAGATTAACAGGTTATTAGAAATATTTTTTATTCTTATCTCTGCAAGAGACTTCAAAAGCAAATGCCAAAGTCGTTTAGAAGAACATTCCCTGATGACTTTGCCAAAGCAATAATGAGTTTTCAGCTGTCAGGCTGAAATAAACCCATGCAAGGAGCTTTTAATTTAATTTAAATAGGCAGCTTTTGTTTCAGCCACGGGCTCATCACAGTTCGGTCTTCGAATGTTAGGTTCCTGACACTAGTTGCTTGTTTAAAAGAATGGATGGAGGTGTGCCAACTCTGGGGTAGAGAGTTCAACCAACAAAAGGCCAGTTTATACCTTCCTCAAACAAAGACAGTCTTTGGTGGAATAACAATGCGAATGCCCTTTTGCTCTACGGATAATGTCACGAACACAGTGTGTCAAAATATGTAGATGTCACACTTAACCCATGTTTAGAAAAAGTGCTCCCTGAAGTGATAGAAGGCATCTGTTTGTCACACAGTGTGATTTTTTCCTCATCTATTTATTTTGCATCACTATGTTTTGTTTCGTGATTGATTGGTCATAGGCATGGAAGCAAACATTAATTTCCAAATCTGACCGCTGAATCACACATCTCAAAAGAAATCACACTACAGGAGAGAAAATGGGCTAATTTTTACAAAATATGGATTTTCCTTAATGTTTCATTTGACACTTTATTCATGACTTAGAATGTGATCAGATGGGTATTTGTCTCACCGTTTGGGCCACTTCAGGGATCAGCTAGTTCATTCCGTTTGTAGACAAACAGATGACGTAATTACTAGTGCAAACTAGCCCATCTCCAGACCGTTCTTACCTGTACCTTTCTGGATCCCTGTCAGGGGCTGCTATTTGGGGGGGGGGTTGCAGGTAGGATCACTCTCCATTTTGGTTTGTTTCCAGCACATGGAATTACTGGAATTGAACCAAAGTAGAGCTTGCTGCTTTAAATTTCCCATCCAGCTTCAATGACCAAATATTGTTAACTGGCTTAAGAAAACAGCTTAACCACTTCACAATATTGGTAAATTAAATACTTCTTCTGTTCCTCTGTAGAGGAGCAGAGAAATGAAGCAAAAGCATTTTTTTAAAAAATCCGTACAGCAGCACTGATGCGCTATACCACTCAGATTTTTTTTTAATTGAAAATTTCCTCCCAGAAAGAGGAGGGGAAAAGCAAAGAAACTGGTTGGATGGTTGGTTTATTGTTTTCTTAAGGGATGCATGCTTGAGGTGCATATGCCATGTTGATTAAGGGATCGCATCAAGTGGCATACCTGGACTCTACCCATCCTTAAGCAACCCTGTTTAGCCCAATAATCCAGCCCACTCCAAATGAGCCTTGTAGGCAAGCTCTTACTTTCTGAGCCACTGATGCCTAAGGTCTGCAGTCATCCCTTTCTTTTGGAAGGGGAAGAATGGCTTGAACGGGACAGCCATATCAAAGATTTAACATGACCCTCTAGTATCACAGGACCACAACTCGTAGCTTTGTATTGAAGGTTAATTGGATGAATTGTATTCCACCATTACAACCAGAATTAAGGAGTATGATTTATCCACAGGAAAACAACTCAGCTCTTTGATCTGGAATTTTGCAAGTGTAGAAGCAATCACTGGGAGAATAGTAAGGTAAAGGTTCCCCTTGACATTTAGTCCAGTCGTGTCCGACTCTAGGGCGCGGTGCTCATCCCTGTTTCCAAGCCATAGAGCCAGCGTTTTGTCTGAAGACAATCTTCCGTGGTCACGTGGCCAGCGCAACTAGACACAGAACACCGTGACCTTCTCACCGAGGTGGTACCTATTTATCTCCTCGCGTTTTTACACGCTTTCGAACAGCTAGGTTGGCGGGAGCTGGGACAAGCAACGGGAGCTCACTCTGTTACGTGGATTCGATCTCAGGATTGCTGGTCTCATGACCTTGCAGCACAGAGGCTTCTGTGGTTTAACCTGCAGTGCCACCACATCCCTAGACTGGGAGAATAGGCTGTGCTAATTATGAAGTAGAAAAGCGAAGAAATTGCTTATTTATGGAGATTTAAAGCTTGATGAGTGGCCTCCAGAAGTTTCATAGGTATTTTTTTGGAGGGACCTTTTTCCTGTTCTCCTCTGTAGAGAGGCATAGCAATGAATCAAACATCTTTAAGACTTAAAGAAAGGTATTTGTCAGGAAACAGTCTTGCTGATTCTTGGCTGAAGTCCATTATATGCTCTGTCTTTTATTTCATTTCATTTCTTTTCTTTTTACCCCACTTTTTACCCCCCCAGGTGGCATACATCAATAAAAAACATATATTCAAGGCTAAAAACCGTAAATTGTTCAAATATCCCCCCCCAGGTGGCATACATCAATAAAAATGTATATTCAAGGCTAAAAACCATAAATTGTTCAAATACAAAAGATGACTTAATAACTTTGTATTTGAAATGTTAGGTTAAACCATTACAAAAAAGAAACAGTTTTAGAAGCAACAAAATAGAAACCACCCTGTTTATTGTCTCCTAGATAGTTAGTCACTAAGGAAAGCTGAAGAAGAAGGTCTTTGTCTGACTGCAGAAGGACAGCAAAGAGGGGGCCAGGCTGGCCTCCTGTGGGAGGGAGTTCCAAAGTCTGGGAGTAGCCACAGAGAAGGCCCTCTCCTGTGTCCCCACCAAGCACACCTGAGTAGGTGGTGGTGGGACCAAGAGGAAAGCCTCTCCTGATCTTAACACTCAAGCAGGCTCTTAGAGAGAGATGCGGTTTTTTGAAATAGCTTGGACACGAGCCGTTTAGGGCTTGATAAACTAAAGCCAGCTTTTTGAATTGAGCCCAGATCATGATAAGGAATCTAACATCTTTTCACCTGTTGTGTAGATGGACCAGGGGCGGAGTTAGGGAATGATCTTTTATGAGAGTCCATAAATGTCTTCCTGAACTTCTGAAACAGTAAGAAACTCTCTTTTTTTCTATCTCTAAGCCAGTGGCCTCC